TTTTTTTTTACAAATAAAGCTTCATATTATGAGGATACTTTCTACGACCTTTATCCTGCAGTCATGGTGAGATTATAGATTCCTTCAATCTAAAAAAAAAAGCAAGAATCGAAAACAACAGAACCAGGAATCGGAATCGGACTCGATTCCAAAAATTTCGGAATCGAACAGCCCTAATCCAAACGTACCGAACTCTGACGTCAATCGAACCCGGGTGCGCACCAAAAGTGCTACTACTTAACATATTTGTATACTGTATATTTGAATATTTTGCAATAAATTAAGTTATAGTTATTTAACATGTAATGACATTTTTAAGAGTTGTTTTATACTTGTATTCCATAAAAGTCTATTTTTTAATCATAATTTTGCAATACAAAATAGTTTTTCCCTCACAAAAGACAATAAAGTCTGTGTGAACCGGAAGTTGCTGCCGACTTCAGTATTGTAACATATTTCCAACTGAAATGGAGTGTTGAATAGAAGGCGGGGTTTTATTGTAGCGCACTCTCTCCATCTCCCGCTCACAGCAAACTAACGGTTGGAGGGGAGTGGTTAAGGATACTCTGCCCAAACCATCAAACTGATGAAGATTACCAACACAAACAATTTTTTTCAGTAGTTTAACTTTTCAGTAGAATTGTTCACTTTAAGACTAGCAATGTGCGCCAGCAAAGTAAATAGTGTACATTTTGATTTCATGCAGACTTTATGTGCACAATCTTATACATTTGTCTTTTTGTCTAATATTCTTCTTCTTTTTTGTGTGTGAAATGATTAAGTTCAGAGTAGTATTATTTTAAGTCATTAAAAAACTATTGGAAGTTTTTATTAATATTTTGAATGTTTATATTTTTATATTTTCCATTATCATTTTGAAGTTTTTATTTTTTTTTTGTTATTTTTTTATTTTATTTTAGTTTTAGTTATTTTAGTATGCCAAGTTAAACTAAATGAAAATGGGAGATTGTATTATTTCAGTTACTTTTCTTTTATTTCAAATAACTAATATGCTTTTTTTATGGTTTTAGTTGTAGTGAACTATAATAACCTTGTTTCAGAACTGGTTGGTTTGGTTCATGGCTTAGAAGTTTTTATGAAAGTTTTTCTTTTTTTTTAATCCCTATGTGAAAAAAATGCTTGAACCTAGACTGCTTACAAAGTCTGATGTGATTCTGCTACACAGTGAGCATCATGAATATCTGAGCATGTCTGGAAGGACAGTCAGGACCTTGCTTTACTTTCACTCCTCCTCTAGTCCACAAAAAAGGACATGGATACTGAATCAAATTGACAATCACTTTATGAAGTACTGTGTGTTTATGAAATGAACTAGAAAATCTGTGAAACATGCCAACTATGAAAGAAAAGCACAGAGTCAGCAGTGTAGAAGACATATTGCATTTGTCACATCCCTTGAGGGCTATACAAACAAAGACAGTCAAAGTGGTCACCTGGGGAAACCGTGCCACTGGTCACATCCTCATAGCGTGCAACATTTTGAACTTTGTAAGTTGAATATTGTATAAATTGACAAAAGTTAATGTTTTATAAATGAATATGAACATGTTCATTTTTAGTTCAAGATACCTAAAGCATTAAATGATGTTAATGAATTGAACCGTATACGGTAAAGTGTTACCAAATGTGCTATATGGCATTTTAAAGGGTAACTTTAAATTGTTTTAGGGAACCATATGTTATTTGATGCTGATTATGCTTTTATACCTATTATACGGCTACTCCATCTATATACAAATATACTTTTATTTTTCTCTGGTAAGATGTTGCTGTGAAAGTACTGAATAAGTGCATGTATCTTTTTTTCCTGGTTTATTATTTTAAAGGTGCAAGAAGAGTTTGTGAAAAACATGGAGAACACTTCCGTCGAGAGCCTCATACAGAAACTGGCAGAAAGCAAAGGGACCGGCAAAGAGAGACCAGGTAACACAGCTAAATCACTCACACACAGCTTTAACCTCTGGCACTGAACTACTTTGCTCTTGATATTATTAACAAGACTGGTCATGAGTTCATTACCAACTGACTAAATAATAAAAATAAAAAAAATTTGGTGGGGGATTAGAAATGAGCAATAGGCCGCACTATAACACTAGGAGTATGTTTGACTTGATTGCTGTAACACGGTGGAGTTTACACTGGAGGATTTGTGGCGTTCTGACCATTACAGGGGCTTTCAGCCAAGGTCTCAGCCAGCACTGGCCGTCACATGCTAAGTGGAATGTCAAGCTCGCCCACCTTTACACGAGATTAAGCCACTTGAAATTGATAGAGCTTGACACGGCTACACTTCCCCCTGTGCTCTGGCTATTTTTCCTCACTTATCCCTCCGTGACCTTTCATTCGACCTCCTGCTTCTCCCTCTTTTCACAGGGTGGAAGTTTTTTCACATTTCAGATAGAGAATATAATCTTGCTGGAAGCTTAAGGGGCGTGGAGCGTAATTAAACCAGTTTAGCCAATATAAATGTTACACACTAGGATTTTGCCTTGGTTTTGGTTTGAAAGCTGTATGTGTCATTTTGTTCCTTCTTAAAATGTTTTTCCTCTCTTAGCAATGTTTCAAAACATTTGCTGTGTTCAGTGTGTTGTTTGAACATCCTGACACGGTGACATCGGCTCACCCAATGGCGTGAGTTTGGTGCGGGGCTATCTGTTTTATTCGTCCAATGGCAAAAAAAAACAAAACATTTTGAAAACAAAAATTTTCTTTGTTTGGTGACGCTAGTGGAAATCACACAAATTACACACTTCAGCTGTAATACCCTGTTTTCTCACCACTCCTGTATGTTATGTTGTGTTACACACTAGTGTTTAAAATTTTGGGGTTAGTAAGACTTTTTAAAAAATATTTTTAATATTATGAAATATTACAATTTAAAACAACCATTTTCAATATATTTAATAAATGAGTTATACTTTATTTTGATATGTAATTTATTCTTGACATCTGAATTTGAATTCATCAGTGTCACTTTATCCTTCAGAAATCTTTCTAATATGCTGATTTGGCGCTCAAGAAACATTTCCTCTTATTATCAGTGTTCACAGTTGTGCTGCTTAATATTTTAATAACAAAATAATAATAAAAGAAAGTTCAAAAGTATTTATTTGAAAGAGAAGTCTTTTGTAGCATTATAAATATCTTTACTGTCATTTTTGATTAATTTAGCGTGTCCTTGCTGAATAAAAGTATTGAAAATATATATATTTTTAAAACATACTGACCCTAAATTTCTGAATAGTAGTGTATGCATGTATAAGTGTGTGTATATATAATATTCTCTACAAAGGTAGGCCAGGTAAACTATGTATGAGGATATAGTGACCTCCAGGTGTCTAGACTGACCATTCTGGCTTTTGGTTGCCCTCCATTTGTTTTGACAGCAGAATTAATTGAGACTAAAAGCTGTTTTGGTCAACAAAACATTCCTTCCCCATATCAAGCTGTTCATTAGGGATTGCGGCGCTGTCAGAGCAGTAATCTGTGTGGCACGCTGATGAAATCAGAGCAGTCCTAACCAGTACAGAGAGAGAGAGGTTGAACAAACTTTGTACCACGGAAACAATCCCGAAGTGACACGCTGGGCTGTAGAGAGGTTGCAAGAGCAGTTCAGCGATATCCAGCTGGGCTGTGAACTGGCCGCCAGCCAGACACGCAAACTCTCCTTGCTTTGCCATCCGAGAGTCCATGCTCAGCATATGCAATTTAAAAAAAAAACATCCTCTGTTAATGCATGACTGCATGCGCCTCTCATAAACAAACACACGCATGTGTATGAGCATTCACAAAAGCACATTTTTACCTAGCTATCTAAATAAGGACATACCTTAGACTGTTGTATTTAAACCTTAGACAGTTTTTTCAAATAAATCTAATTATAATTACTAAAGACAATCCATAATCGAAACCCAACTCGATTGAATATTTAGAGTTTTAATAAAACTGACTTTTTGAAATATTTTTCTTTTTGAGGACATTTTGAAAGGAAGGTTTTATTAGATTTAGCTAACTTCTGCAGACATTTTTCAGCAATGTTTTCCTCAAAGTATTGCTATAAACCCACACACACACATAAATACACACATGTGTTCATGTAAACAGAGGTCTGTCTGTGTACATGAATTTAAACAAAACCTAATACCCTTTTTCCAGATTTAGATGGCATTGTTGTGTCTGATGTTTGGATTTGTGTGCATAAATATTGTTAGATGGAGTCTGGAAGTGTTGTCAGTTGCACCGTTCCTCGCCTGACATCACTCAATTAGAAGAAACTTTTCCTCAGTCCCGCAGCTGCATGGAAATCTTAGAAATCGATCTGCATTGTCCGGCTTTCTAAATTTGTTTAGACAAACTTGCTGATTTGTTGTAATGAAGGCAAGGCAAGGCAAATTTATTTATGTAGCACATTTCATACACAATGGTAATTCAAAGTGCTTTACATAAAATGAATACAAAATAATACAGATGTTTTTTTTTTTTAGCCTTTCTAATTTGGCTATTATTTGGAGACAAGGTTGATGAATATTTAGCTAAAGCTGACCTGAAGGTCCTCAGAAGGATAAGGTTTTGTTTTTTGTTTTGTTTGTTGTTGTTGTTTGTTTTGTTTAATTTTATTTTGTAGTTGTTTCGCTTTTGTTTTGTTTAGGTTTTTATTCTAAAAATGCTAAAGGTTTTCTGAAGGTTAGGTTGTTCATAAATATTATATAGAATTATTACATAATACATACTGTGCTATGTCCCTAATAAGACAGTGTGTGGTTCAAGTAAATTAAAGCAATAAACCCCAAGAAGCCGTGGTTAAAATAAAACGGATCAAATAAAGTGTAATGATATTAATAAAAACAGTATTATTCCACCAAACAATGTAGTTCCTCAGAAACAGTTGTGGTTGCAACAAAGTGGTTGCCAAGCAACACACAAAGTAAACAAAGGTGTATGTTTGTAGTGTAATTTACAACAGCTTCAAACACGGCTCAACCAATCAAAATCAAGGACCGGAACTATCCGTTTTATAACAAATAATCTGATATGTTTAATATGATTTCGATTGAAGTGGGTCTTTAATTTTTCGTGTGTATGTATTTGGGTACGTGTGTGAACTGACAGCATTTGACCTTTAGTTCTGATTGTGTGATCAGAGATGATCTCAAACAAACAATAACAGAGATAAGAGAGTGAAGTGATCTGGTGCAGTAGAGTAGATCAGTCATACTGTATCTGCGTCAGCATGTGTGATGTGTGCCTGTCGTGACTGCTCTGAACCGTGCGCATGAGGTCCGCTCACAGCCGTCATTCTCCAGGGAAACTGTATTGAACCGCTTGAGTTAAATATCACACGCTTTTGTTTTTTCAGGTCAAGGCGTTTTCTGTGCAATGAAAATAGCGCCCCAGGCTCTCTTGCAGAGGTCTGGTAGTAGTAAAATGCTGTCTTTCGTTTTCTTGGACAAGCATTAGCTTTTATGTGCATTAACACAAAAGAAAACACGCTCTAAAGGGCTCTTAGAGCACTGAGGGGCATCTCTCCTCTCTTTACGGCCAGTCACGAAAGCACAGAATTAATATTTATATGCTGTTCAGATTAAAATTAGATTTCATGTTGAATCCTAATTTTTCGCGTTTTAACTTCACTCTGAAATAAAAACTTGGCTGACAAGTTGTTGGGTCATGACTGCAAAACCCTGAGCCGTGAAATACAAGTGACTTTGTTTGCTTAAATCCCTTCACTCATGTGTCAGTGTGGAAATGGGTCATGTCAAAAGTGTTAAAGCTTGGAGGTAAATATGCAAAATTGATGAGCAAGAAATGAAGCTTGCGGTTTGTTGTCTTTTGCAGCCATCTGTGTGTCTGTGTGTTATATTAATTCATATTTTCAGTGAAGACTAGTATACAGCATTTAGTGTGAGAGTGTTATCAGTGCTGCACGTCATTTTATTGGATTTGTGTGTTTGTTTGATTTCTGAGGTTAAAAGCAGAAGTGCTTCCAGGCATTTGTGTGTGTGTGTGTGTGTGTGTGTGTGTGTGTGTGCGCACATCTATTAGTGCGTGTTGCATGCTGGCTGTGAACTAAATGCTCTGGCTTAAAGGGGAAGTCAGATTGTGCTGATTGCTACCAGACCTACTGAGGACTCTGTAAATTTGCTTGCCAGAAAATCTGACCTGCGTATGTGTTACTATTTTCGTGATGATTTTATGAAACGCTGTAAAAAAAAAAATTATAATAATAATTTAAAAATTTGTTTTAATATTAAATATTACGCCATATGTTAATTCTTGAATTCAGTATACTGTAACAGGACATCCCTTCAATCATTTGTATTTGTTTGTTTGTTATCATTTCAGGGCCCATTGAATTTGAGGAATGTAATGTCTCAATCGCCACAGAAGGTCTGAATTAATTTTTCTCTCTGTTCCCATTTTCTTTTTTATTGTTATATAGGAAAAATATAGAATATAATTTCACTTTAATATCTCTGATTTCATCTCTTTATAATAATTCATTTAGAATGTTAGTTTTGTAGCCTTTACATTCTGTTTAAAAGTCATAATACCCATTTTACGATTTGTTTCAGATGCAACTCTATTTGTCTAGATTTGTAATAATCATTGCTGTGTCTGTTTAGGTGTTAAACCCAGAAAAAGGAAGACCTTTGCCATACCAGGCAGACGGAGAGATAAAGACACAGATTCCACGTAAGTGTTGACTTTTACTTTAATGTGATCTCACTTGTTTTTTATGACTTTTTAACAATATTTTTTAAAGAATTTAACTATTTTAAACTAAATTCTCAAACGTACTGTGCTTCATAGTATTTTGTGAGTTACTTGTAATTTTATGGATTTTATTGTAATTTTATGACAGAGGATTATGAAAATTTCGATCTGGTGATAAAATAAATTAAGTTTAGAGAAGTAGACATATTTTTGTTATGGAGAGTTTTTTGTAATTTAGAGTAATAATTATAATGTTTGAGTAATTATAATTATTATATATTATATCATAATAATTATATAATAATTATGTTTGCAGAGTAATTTTACATTTGTGGTAAAATGAAGTATTAACGTTCCATAAACTTTTCTCTGTCTTGAATAGTGAATCGGCTGAAGTAGAAGCGGCTGTGAGAATACATTTTTCTTTTTTTAATATTATTAATAATTTATTATTAATTTTATTATTACTGGAGAAAATTATTCTTATTTTGAATGTTACAGTACATTAATTATTAATACATTAATAGTATCAATACAGTACTAAAGGTGTTTTTCTGTAATTTCATAATATGAAACTCATTTTCTTCTGATCAAAGTATGCTCCCTCTTGTTATTTTGGAGAAACTCCGTTTGATTCGCACCCACAAAGCTCCTTTTGTTCGTCTTTCTTTCAGAACACTTCCAACGGAGCTCCCCCGGGTTTCTACGGTGCTATAGATCTTCATAACGCCGTGAGTGGTGACCTAATGTTGTTGAAGGATTGTCTATAATTCTTACAATGTTAAGTAAAGACAACATAGTCTAAATGCTTCTTGCTATATCGCTAACAATAGTGTGTTTTACCTCAGTCGGACTCTCCTTGTGCTGTGATGTATTGAAGAGTGTGAATAATAGGATTTTGTCTGTGGTGTGTTCTGTGTTTTTCTGCAGAATGTGCCTCAGCTGGACGAGGAGGGCTTCTGTATCCGACCAGAAGTCAACGAGAATGATATCCTTACTCCAGATTCATCTCTTCCATTCCCCATACACACACACTTTCATCTCAGCCACAGAAACATTTTCCTTCATCTCTTTCATCGCCTCTACTCAGTATAAACTCTGAACACTTTTTTTTGGCTTGAGAACATAGTGTGATAACTTTCTTTGTTGCACTTTTATCTGAATGGCTGCCAAGTCATTCCTTCCCGTCAGATTTTCTTCGTTCTTCTGTTTTCTTTACCAAAGCTGCGTCATCACTCTTATGTGGACTAGAATACATGTTAAAAAATTCAAATAAAATACCAAACCTGATCTTCTTAGCCCGTGATACTATAGACGAATTTTCATGCCCCGCGTGTATCTTTTTTTTTGTGTGTGTCAACCATTTTCCTTAATGTTTCTGATCACATGCCAAAGAGAACTCCTTTTATTCATCCAGTGACTCAGAAGATGAAGACGAGCCAAGAAAATTCCACGTCCAGATCAAACCCGTGCAGACTAACAACGGCACACACCAGCACAAAGCCACCATCGACGAGCTGAAGGCCTCTATTGGAAACATCACCCTCTCGCCCACCCCTGCTGTAAGAGATGCCTCACCAGCACACACACCATGTGTAAAGATCCCATGACCGCATACTCCTCACATATAGACGTATACCTTGCATTCACATTCATTCATACACAGAGTAATGCACGCTGGGCTCACTCTATAAAGGGTGATTGTACAGCATCAGCAAAGAGACTTGTGATTGGTTGATATCATTTACAGTCATGTTTCTGTTTCCCACACATCTCGCTTCATCTCTTCCACCAAAACCTACGATGGCCCAGCAGACACTAGAGGGCAATATTTGATTATGATATTTACAGGCGATCCTTAGAAATGCTGAAAATGCTTTCACACTTTTTTCCCTATCCTGAGTTGTGTGTGTGTGTGTGTTCATAACGCACCTGTAGATTTAACTGGCTGATTCAAAACAATATTGTGTAGGCCCAACAGACGTTAGACTTTACCAGCGAGGGAATGAACATTTTATTCATCTCAAGTGGTTTGAGTCTGAGTTGGTCACTATGACATGATAGGTGACATCACACATGTACTGCTTTGTGCAAAGGTGACCTACTATTCTGTCATTTAATGTTGTAAATGAAGTGCATGTGTGAGTGTGTGTGTATAGTTATGTGGTCAAGCAATTCCTCCTGCACACACTGTGGGCCTGTGGACCATCTGTGTGTGAGTGCTGTTGGTAAACAAACCCATGCAACTTCCTGCCTGAAATCTCACCACAGGAAGCACGGAGGGACTCTTTCTAATGAGTAAGATCACGTAGGTAAATGCGCGTGGGCAAGAGCGGTGTCTGTAACAAAGTTTAGTTTAACAGTTTTTAGTTAAGTAAAGGCAGCCGATGTCTTGACATGTTCAGAGCCAGTTGGTTAAAAAAAATCTAAATATCCATGATTCTTATGAATGGATTGCAGCTTTTCTTTTTTGAAAAAAAAAAAAAGAAGGATTACTTTCATTCAGCAAGGATGCATTCAATTGATCAAGAGTGACAGTAAAGACATTTACTATTACAAAAGATCTTCTTATTCTTATTCTTATAGTTATTGTTATTGTTAAATGCTATTTGGAACTTTGTATTTATCAAAGAATCCAGATTCTACAAAAATACTGAGCACCACAACTATGCATTTTCAACATTAATGATAACATTAAAGGGGTCATATGATGCTGCTAAAAAGAACATTATTTTGTGTATTTGGTATAATGAAATGTGTTTATGCGGTTTAAGGTTAAACATAAAACCATGTCTGCATTTGTGATCGGAGAAATGACAAACAACAAGCCCTACTCTACACTGCTTTAAATATATAAAATATAAAAACTCTTTAAATATAAAAAACGCAGTCTTTGAGTCAGAACAGCAGGCATTGTAGTTTACTCTACCAGGATCAGTCATACTGTCCATCACTATATTGAACTAGATTGAGTATATTGACAAAAAAGAAAACCAAAACGAATCTCTGTACATGGACTCAATGATCCAGAGAATCACATTTTTAAAGGGGTCATATGATGTTGCTAAAAAGAACATTATTTTGTGTATTTGGTGTAATGAAATGTGTTTATGCGGTTTAAGGTTCAAACATACTGTACATTATTGTTTCTCCTCTATGCCCCGCCTTTCTGAAACGCGTCGATTTTTACAAAGCTCATCGGTCTGAAAAGCGAGGTGTGCTGTGATTGGCCAGCTATCCAGTGCGTTGTGATTGGCCGAATTCCTCAAGCGTGTGACGGAAATGTTACGTCCCTCAACCACATGTGACGACCCCAGGCTGGACTTCGTTTCGTCCACGGTGAAAGCCGATCCGTGTATTTCCTCAGCGATCAGCACGGATCAGCTCCAGGCATGACGAAGCAGATATCGTCCTCTTTTGGAAGGCCAAACAAAGTAGTTTCGCTTTCACAACGAAGCACACAGCGTCTTCAGGACATGGCGGCAGCGCTACAATACTACAGCGAGAATAAAAGTTACGCTTTCTTTCTTTGCGTGAACATTTGGGCGTTGTTATGCAAATCTTCCCACATAGTGTGGGGGCGTGTTAGAACGAGCCATTTTAGGTAGACGTGGCTGACTCTTAACTTTTATAAAGAATATCTCTTTGGATTTGAGACTTTAGTCTTTGCAACTTTACAGATCTTCTTTATGCACCAAGAGCTTGTAACACTCCAAAGAGAAAGGAAAAATTTAAATCGCATCATATGACCCCTTTAAGAAATGTTTCTTGAGCATCAAATCAGCCTATTAGATTGATTTCTGAAGGATCATGTGACACTGAAGAATGAGTAAGAATGCTGAAAATACAGCTTTTCATCACAGGAATAAATTATATTTTAAAATACATAAAAAATGAAATTAGAAAATTGAAACTAGAAATTTTAATTTGTAACAATATTTCAAAATATTACTGTGTTTACTGTGATTTTGATCAAATAAATGCAGCCTTGGTGAGCATAAGAGACTTCGTTCAGAAAACATTTTTAAAAACCGTACCAACCAAACTTTTGAATGATAGTGTATTTGTATTGGCTGATAAACATTAGATGTGTTATGGACAGAATAAAAACAAATTGGTTAGGTTTGTTATCAGTAACATTGTTTGTAACTATGATTTTCTCTTTGTTCAAGATTTCATCTGCTCAGTTTCACCCTTTTTGTGTGTGTTTTACATTCTCTCTCTGCATCCCTCGCTCTTCATTCTGTTGTGACGCTTCGAAATGACAGAGTGATAAATTTCTGCAATAACACATCCTCACAAGTGCCAGCTTGTGTTTTCAGTGAGCACAGCCGGGGCGACAGTTTACTTTAGACACCTTCGCTGCAGCCTCTGTTTGCTCTGTTTGAGATGGATTAACACACATCTTTTAGGTAGGCTCTTCATCATTCATTTCACCAGGCTTGAGCTTTCTGTCTTCTCCCAACTGTGCTCAGTAATCACTCAGATTAGCCTCTCAAACATTTACACATCTCAAAAACTACATTCACCAAACTGAACATTTGTCTGTGTCACATATCAGAGTTGTTTCCTTTCCCTCTCAGTTTCATTTCTTTTCGTTGCCCTGTTTGTTTCATTTTTTTAGGCAGATATGTTTTATGGCAGTTTGGGTTAAGTCAGGAAATCAAGGTGACGACGAATGCCATGTCATCTGTTGTACTGTACATTATTGCTATTATTAAGCTTTCCATTTCCATTTCCCCTAGTCTTCTGTTGTTTCTGTTTCCCCTTGATGTTCTCTCTCTCTCTCTTTCTTTCGTTGGCGGGTGTGTGGCCTGGGTGCTGTAATTGAACCCATTTGCCACTCTGCCTATGGGACTAAACCCTGCCTTTACTCTATGCACGTATGTGTGTATTTGTATGCATGTGTTTGTTTGTGTGTTTCCACAGTTTTTCCTTCACAGTTTACCATTTAGTTACTTGTATGGTCCATACGTTGATTTTCTGATGTGTTTCTATTCATCAAAATAAGTGGGATTTTCTTCTATCCACTCAGACAGAGTTTGAGGCAGAGAGGCTTCATATGAGTCACTTTGAATACACAATAAACCAAGCCTTCCCGTGCATTTGTTGCCGTTTTGCTAGTTGACTCTTGTTGACATTTCTTAGCCTCAAAACAATCCTGGTAGTGAATTCGGTTGAATTCTCTGCCACTCATTTCCTCATGTTTAGACTGCCTGCAGAATGTTGTTGCTGAATTTATGGTTTGAATATGTAATCTCACTACTGCGGTTCTCTGCTAATTCTTCTCTGTGTGTGTGTGTGTGTGTGTGTTTGTCTGTGTGTGTGTGTTTGTCATCCTGTGAAGCCAGTATCTATTGAACGAATGTGGGGATGAAGCACTTCATGTCTTCTGCTGTTTTCATAACTCCTCTCACTCTCATTAATAAAAGCCTGTTTTCATTTCCAGGTTCATATGAAGAGAAACCAATCCAGTGAGTATTCCTCTCTTTTTTTCATCCTCCCTCCATCCCTCTGTCACTCTGAAGGTTTGGCTCTGGAGAGCGCCTGCCATTTTGAGTTCTCTTTTTCGTTTTTCTTGGCCGTGACGTTTCTAGCCAAGCCTCCTTCATGTTGCTCTGGTGACCCCTCCAAAGCCAACTCATCCCATGAGAAAATAAACATCATCTCCCATTTTTTCCTCATCTGAGTAGCACAGTGTTGCCTCCTTAAGCCACGAGCAAGATTAACTGCTTAATTGTGTGTTTATGTTTTTCTATCCATCATAATTTTACATTTTTTCCAGTAAATTGTGGCTTAAACGAGCACAGATGCATGCCAGAATGTAGTGTTTACACTGCGGCATGTTCTCACATCAAGAGCAACAATTTCAAGTTAACGTCCCAGGAAAGTTTTACATACTTTAAATCTGTAAGACAGTAATTGAGCTTACAGTAGAATCGTTTTGTTATTCTTGCACTGGAACGGTAAACATTTCTTCAAAAAAACGCATTTATTGCAAACCTCTTGCACATGCTTAATTTGATAAGGTCTGGCAGATAATCTTATGCGATAAGTCCTTTAATCTAATACGGTATATTTTGTAGTTTATCTGAAATCACACCAAGATGCAATTTCAGGAATGACAAAAGATAGATAGTCGAGAAAGCATTCTTTTCTTATGTTTTAACTGAACCATGTTTAAATTCTTTTTACAAACTGATTTTATGGTCAGCATATATTATACTTATCAGCTTATTGGTGTTGGGCCAAAATTTTCTTATCAGGTTATGGCCAATAACTGATAAATGGCCAGTATTAAAATTTTATACTATTTTGTCTAAATAAAATAAAACACACACACAAAAAAACAGATGTTTTAAATGCTTTATTGACTTTGGACATCATGACATTATAATGTACAGTATGGAAAATGTATATTTATTTTGAGATTTATTAAAGAGTACATTTAACTGTGTCATTTAATTATTAGTGTTTTTAAAGTTAACTTTAGTGGGCTTTGGATGACTGCAAAATATATTCTAAATCGTAAAATGTGCACAGTTAAATATCCAATATCAACTGATACCGATAAAAAAATTCTGGTACATATATATTTCTTATTATGCGGCACTTGTGCAAATTAGGTTTCTAGAATAAACTGAAGAATATGCAGTACTGAATATTATTGTAAATGTGGATCTCACACATACTTACTGTAGGAATGACACGGCAACAAACATTCCCTGCTATAAAACCAAAGGCAGGTGAGTATTCCCCAAGAATCTTAGCCACCCAAACTCTCTTTTGGTCCACAGCTGCGTTTGTGTTGGTGGGAATGAGGGATCCCTGTGAAGCTTAAAAAATTTAAAACAAAATGTGCAAATCACAAAATTAATTATTTATACCAAAATTATATTTGGTTACTAATATAATCTGTTGTCTTTTAACACTGTCATTTGTCCTTTGTGTATAATATACTGTATTGCATGTCATTTTTAATGTATGTATTTGATACCTTTACCTGTGACAAATGGGGTTGCAAGAACATGTGTCTCATGTAGTACTCAACTTGCTACCAGTTTTAAACCACCTGACATGGCACTTAATGGTTAGAAACACTATCTTTTCTTAAGCAAGTGACTACTGCTGTTCATTTCCTGGCTTCCATAGGTTATTGTTGTATACAAGGGGAACAAAAACAATATGTCTTAATCTAGTATTTAACTTTTTCTTCATGAAACACATGAGCTGCATTTTAATCAGGACCTAATGAGCAGTGCCCAACTGTAAGAATGCTAATTTAAGAAAACCCTTTGTTATATTTGTAAAGGGATTTCTCAGCTTAATTTAAGGGGTTTCTTGCACCTGGCTTCAGATCATGAATAAAGCCTGAAGAGTTGCGCCGTTACTCAGTTGCTTGTGTTCTCATTGTTTTACAGGTGATGAACTGGGACGGTCCAAGATAGCGCAGACATCCTTTAATGAGTAAGAGAAGCTTTGCTGTTAACCTTTTTTGAAAAACAATGTAACCAATTATTCAATTTGATTTACAACTTTCATCCTTTTTTTTTTATCCATCTTCATTATCCAGTAATGACCTGCTGTCTTTGGATCCATTTGGCCCGACCAGCACTGGCTCCAGCTCCTCGCTACCCCACTCATCAGGTAACACCGTCTGTTGTAATACAGCAAATACACACTCTTCTGGGTACATAAAAACAAAACTCGGTGTTAATGTCATTAATATATCAGTAATCTATTGTTGTTAAACACTGTTTCTAAAACCAAATTCAAGGTCTTTTTTTCTTATATCTTATGCAAGTTTTACAAAATAGAAGATAGGTACAATTACATTAATTGAGGAAAAAAAAATTAACTTAAATGATTTTAGCAAATGGCTGCAATATAACAAAGAGTGAAAAATTTAAGGGGGTCTGAATACTTTCCGTACCCACTGTATATTTAAAACACATCTCAGGGTCAGCATCTACACTAATCTCAATGACAGAGTTCAGCTTGACAATGATGGAGTCAGAACGTTCTTCATCAACCACACACACACACACACACACACTGTACAGGCAGACAGTCGTAAGTCATTCACCCCTCCATCCCCCAGCCTCTGGAAGGCTTGTCTTAGGTCTGACCTCCTTCATTATTGATGATGCTTACAGGCTGGTGAAAGTGTCAGGGCTTTTCCAGTCCACAACAGTCTCCTCTAGAGAGCTTGCTCAGGCTGCTGTTGTCACGGAAACCCTCATATCCCACAGCGACTTCATATCTCACTCAGTCTGTCCTTTGCTTTAGTATGGAATCTTTTGTTAATGCCATGGGATTTATTTATTTTAAATTGTGGGTTTGTTTTGTTTTTGAGTACTTTTTTTACATTTTGGTGTTACAGTATTGGCGTTTTGAAAACATCTCAATTGTTTACTGATACTTGAATTTCTAACTTAAATTGAACTTAAATTTCTAAAAGTCTCATTTTACCCCACTTCTTTCTACAGCATTTTACACACCCCAAGCTTTATTTGTGAAACACAAAAATAATTTATTTCTTTATAACTCGTGCTTACTGTAAATCAATTTAACATAAATGTTCCCATTGAATTAAATGTCAGTTTACGAATTAAGAATGGGTTTTATGTATGATTTACACACAAAATTGCATGTGCATTATGAAAAAGACCCCTGGGTGTATGCCGTGAGTGTAGTCTCTGTGCTCCCTCATGCTCTACGTGACTCCGTCTCCTTTGCTCTTGACCTTGATTGTTGAAATGAAATGTAATTTTCACATCTGGGAATTAGGAGCTTCCATATCTTGGGGAATGGTGCAGTTGGCAGTAGTCTTTCTTGACCCAATGTAAATATTATCATTTAGATGTACATCAACAAAAATGAGATGCAAATAAATTTCACAGAATTTATGTAGTATACTCAAATGTATTTTTTGTGGCTTTTAGAGACTTATATTATATATTGTAAAAAGGGGCATAATATGTCTCCTTTAACTTAATATTTCTTACAAAATAAAATATTACAATATCTGAGTAAATTCTAGTCTGACTGTTATAGTTTTAAAAGGGCATCGTTTGCAAACAAGTGAGTGCTTTTTTCACTGATAATCCACTCAATGCAGTCACTAAAAAAGCCAACCCATCATTCAAGCTCTGACCTTAGCTGCGAGGGCCAATCATAATCCAGAGTTAATTGGCACCTTCAGAGGTCAGAGGGTGGAGTTTGGCGTCCCCATGTCACAGACGTTGTCAAACCTGATCTTGTTATGGGTCTGACCTGGCAAAGGAACAAAAAGAGCAGTGAATAGGATATGGGATGTTAGTAACATGGCGAGTTATTTGCGCTAGATCTTTTTTTTCTCCTGTGTGCCATTTAGGTTTTTTTTACTTAGCTTTTGAATGTTATTTCTTTCATGTGTATTTCTTTCCTACTGTCTTAATATGTTTAAATTGACCCTTATTTGTGTTGATTTCTTTTTATTTTCTCATCCTCGCTTTGTATTTGTTCAATGCTTTTATTTCTTAGACTTGGCTTCTCTCTTCTTAGCATCTTTCCCTACATCTCCCCCACTGCAGTTAAATGATGAGGTTTTTGAAGACCCAGGTAATGCTTATGACCCATGCCTGCAGTGTGATCATCAGAATAAAACTCTTCCCATAACAGACACTGACCCTAATGGCTCAAAAATCTGCACAAATGCGAATGATGATAGGAATGTTTTGCTTGAACTCACCCCTAATATTTCTAAGAGATGTATCTGTGAATATGAGTGTTTTCAACATTTTCTGTGCACAGAAGATAAGAACAGAGCCACACTTCATTGTACTTTTAGAATAGTTCTCTCAAAAAGGAAAAATAGTTAATCATTTACTCAATCAAAAAAAAAAGTTATACAGATTTGGAATGTCATAAGAGTGAGTAAACAATGACAGAATTTACACATTGGCCCAAACACTCATTTGTCAGTATTTTATTTGATTTCTTTTATGCATTTGTATTAGTTGTAATTGACAGAGGTGCATGAAGTTTAGCTGGTAGTTTTCTTTAGGATCACCGGGTTGTCTTGTTATGTGTTTTAGAGGGATCTTTAAAAGTACGTTTCAGTAGGATTCTACAATATGACCATTATTTTATAATAGGTTTTATAATATATTTTTATTATTTTATAAATTCATACTTTTATTTTATTTTAAAAAGTAGTTTGTATTATTTTTTTTTTTCATTGTCTTTTTTTTATATATAGTTTTATACTGATTTTGTTTTACTATAAATTGTATCTTTACATATATATTTTGATCATTTTCACTGATACTGCCTCATTTAAAAAGGTCTGTTTATTTCATTTATTTCAAATTTTTTCCCAATGTTGTGTTCATATGACTTTTTTTATGTAGTTATGTGAATTGTAGAGCTGTTTTCCACATTCAGATTCAGAGCCTGCATAGACACACATCCAGGTCATCTGTGCTTCTTTCATTTTCTCCATGTAGTCTTCTCAGCATGCCTGTCAGTATGTGGTACATTTTTACAACAGTGCATTACTCTGTTCTCTCTGATGACCCCTGTAACAGAAGTGGATTTACAGTGGGAGCCCACCTCTCCTTCCGCAGTCAGTCTTGAGGTTACCGAGGCTCCTTCTTTCCCCCTTCCCTCCAAACTGCCTCCTCCTGCTGGTCTTGCCAAGCCGAGCTCCTCGCCATTCCCTGTTCTCCCCTCTGCTCCCTCCATCTCTCCTTGGGAGCTTCCTGATAAGGCTGTTGCTCTCCTCCACCCTGGCCCAACTCGAGCTATGAGCGTGCCTCCAGCCCTACAGTCCACTCCTAAGGACTGTGCTACCCACAAGCCCCCTCTCAGTGCTCCCGCGGCTGGTCCAGACATGTTTTCTTCTTGGGCCCAGAACCAATGGATTGCCTTTCCATGTCGTGGACCGTCCCATCAACCAGCGAGGCCTCGTTCAGTCCCTGTGTCTCAACAGCTCAAGGTTTTCTCCAGAGAGCCTGCTGACCCATTTGGCAGCACTGGGAGAGAGGAGAGCGCCCCCACTCTAAAGGAAGCACCAGCCCGACCCATGCAGGATGGTAATATTGAGGAATGAGAGTTCTAAGCATGTTCAAACGCTGTCCCATGGCTACATGACAGTGATATACGTGTTCTGTGGTTTTAACAAACCTGATTTTTTTTATGTAACTTATTTTAATTCATTGTAAAGTAATGATTTGTTGGATTTGGTTCTTTTTATTTTTTTTTGATTGATTGATTGATTGATTGGTGAAAATTTTTTTTTTTTTTTTTTGCATCTTCTGCATTGATTATTGTTTTGAATAATTCAAATGTAACCAAATAACCTGTAAACCATCATAGTTTTAATTACAGTTTAGCTAGATACAGTGTATAAAAAATTGGTTTATTTTAAGTTTATTTTAATTATTTTATTTTTTTTATTTTGTTTCAGCTACACAAACTAACTTGGTAAAGTTACTCAATGTATTATTTTTTAGTTTTCTGCATTGATTATTGATATGAATAATGCAAATGTAACTTTTCAAATGTACTGTTTAGCTGGATACAGGAATACAGTAAGAAAATGTGTGGGCCAAATTTGGTTTGTTTTTTATTATTTTTATGTATGTATGCATGTTATTTATTTTCAGCTACACAAAGTAACTCAGGAAAATTACTCATTAATATGTTTGAAATGTGTCTGCAAAATTGCTCATAAATACTATATCCAACATTTTCTAATTCCAAAACAGTTTGACTATGGTTTAAAAGGTGCAGATTTTTCTTTTAGGTTCTTTGCTTGATCTTATTTTTTAGTCTTATTTTCTGTATTTACTTTTGTTGATATTGTGACGCTGACCCTTGCATGTGCATTAGGTGTAATCTTTAGATTTGACTGTTAGCTTGTTTCTGCAAGACTGTGTGATGTCAAACCCAGTATAGCAACATTTTGAATGGTTTTCAACATTGGTGATTTTAATCATGCTCAGAGAGTGCTACCTCTGTATTTTCCCCTTTTTTGTGGTTCTAACATTTGTGGTCACCATTTTTTTTTTTTTTTTGCATGCACAGTACCACCTCCAAACAGGCCAACCACTCCCCTGGGCACAGCAACCATTGTCCCGCCTCCAAGACCATTATCACGGCCCAAACTACCTGCAGGCAAGCTGACGGGCATCAATGAGGCTGTGAGTAAAGAAGATATTTCCTGATTCCCCCTTACCCAGTCTAGTTTACAGGGATTGATCTGAATGAAGATTGAATGCAGTGAATTATTAATCGGTTAGTTGTTTTCTGCAGGGCCGACCGTTCAGCCCTCCTAAGATATCCAACTCCAGCCCTCCTCCCGCTGCTCCTCTGGCTCATGCAGAGAGCTCCTCCTCTCTCAGCTCAAACACCTCCTTGAGCACCAGCAACACACCTACTGTCGGTGAGTTTCAGTCTCACACACACGCATATACACATGATGAACACAAGAAGAACAGAGGATGCACACACAAAATGTTTTTTTCACATCATCCACATTCATATCACACATGCCAAATGATGCAACACTGATTCTTCCCCACCGTTATCATTTATTACATGTATTACTTAATCATTATTATAACAGTAAAGTCATAATTCATATATATATATTGTTTTTTTGTTTGTTTTTTTTATAGCCATGTCCACGTCTAAGGAATACTAACATGCAAAAAAATGATATTGTACACATTGTATTTCATTATATGGTCAACACATCACTCACCAGATCACTCCATTCTCACCCTTCACTGTTGGGCTGTGCTCTCGCCCTATTTTTTTTCTTTCCTTTTGTGGTTTCCTTCCTTTCATTTTGAATTAAGAGGACGATCTGTTCGTGGGGAAACTGCCCACTTTTGAGAAGAGATGTGAGACTCCGGCAGGTACAGTGGAAAGAACCCAGAAGAACATTTTGTTCTAACTTACTAACAGACTCATGAATGATCATATGTCCTTGATCAACCAACTGCATTGCCCCATCTGGTAAACCACACCCTGTTCTCAGTCTGTGACTCACCATTTAATCTTCAGTGTATTCTACTTGCCTGTTGTGTTGTGGCTGATGAGGATGCATGGCAGAAATAGTGCGGACCAAAATTGCTCAAAGATGTCTTTTCCTTTTTCCTGTTGATTTTTCAGTGTTTGTCATTACAAAGGTTTGAATTGTCTGAATTGAATCACATTCCTCCTACTATTTTAGATTCATACTTAAATGTCTGTTTTTTAAATGTTTTTTTTTTTTCTTTCTGTCTCTCTTTTCTTCCTTTCCCTCATAGGGACATCTCGTGGGCCCAGTCCAGTGACACTGGCTTCCCAGGATGCATTGCCCATTGCGGTGGCATTCACAGAGTCGGTTAATGCCTATTTCAAAGGAGCAGATCCCAGCAAGTGAGTTTCACATCATCTACAATACAGATTTTACATACTATACGCTTGACAAACCTTGCCATATCAGAGAACTGTACAGTTGTGATCTCCATGTCTACAAACGTAATAGAAATGAATAAAATCTTAGAAAGGAATGGAAAAATTGTATATATTTTTTTTTTCCAAAAAATAATTCATTAGTGAATGCTTGTTCTAGATACGGTATGCTCCGCTCTGAGTGTGATCTCTGTAAAAAAAAAAAATTTAAACCTCAAATGTGATTTTAGGTGCATTGTGAAGATCACAGGAGATATGACCCTGTCCTTCCCCAGTGGCATCATCAAGATTTTCACCTCTAGTCCATCTCCTGCTGTACTCAGCTTCAAACTCTCAAACACCAGCAGATTAGAGCAAATCATGCCCAACCAACAACTACTGCACAGGTGAGTTTGTGCCTTACACTAAGGTGTTTCTGCTTGTGTTACACTAATGTTCAAAAGTTTTGGGTCAGTATCATTTATTTATTTGCTTGATTGTTTAAGAAAGTAATCTTGTTATTTAGCAAGGATGCGTTAAATTGATCAAAAGTGACAGTAACCACTGTACTGTATATGAGAAAGTGATCAAAGTGGCTTGAAACATTTTGTATTTTTGTACCTTATTTTAATCTTGATTCCACATATTAGCATCAAGTGCTCAGGCTAAACTCACCCTGGTCTCACTCACCCACATCCTTTTCTTCTTGTGTGATTTCGTGCCAGCAGCTCCCAGGCATGACTAATCAAATCAGGAGGGATTTGTGATTTAATAGTTGAGCTGCTGCAGTAGGGTTAGTTGTTCCATGCTGCTACAATGGCACGCAGCAATGAATTATTGAGCTTCTAATAGCGGTTTCTCTGTGTGTGTGTGTGTGTGTGTGTGTGTGTATGACTGCAGTGACTCCTCCCAGAGCGACACAAACACTAAAGACTTTTGGCTGAACATGCCTGCACTGACGGCGTACCTCAGGAAGAGCTCTGAGCAGAACCCTACTGCATCCTATTACAACGTGGACATCTTAAAGTACCAGGTTCATAGCTTTTCATTCAGTTATCTTTGAGAAAGTACTCTTGAATTCTTCAAGAAACATGTAAGTAAAGCATGTTAGTACTAGCTGCTCTAGTATACTTGCATGTTTACTGTTGATATTTTGTTTGCCTGACTATTGTTGTGTAAATCAAAAAAAAAAAAATAATAATTTATTTATATTTTTCTATTCTATTTTTTCTATTCTATCTATTTGTTTTTCTTTGTGTGTGTGTGT